CTCACCTAGGGTGTGTCTAGACTACAGGGTTTCGTCGACAAAAGTGGACTTTTGTCAACAAAACTATATCTGCGTCTACACTGCTGCTGAGTTCTGTCGACATAACGTCACCAGAACTAAGCAGTTTTGTTGACGGCTGTAAACCTCATTCTTCGAGGAATAATGCCTTTTGTCGAGAGAGTTCTGTCGACAGAAGGCGTTACTGCATCTATACTGTCCTTTCCGTCTACACTGTCATGTCGACAAAATGGCTTGCTTTGTCGACAGAACTGGCTATAGTCTAGTCGCTCGTTGTCGACAGAAACTTTGTCGACAGTATCTGTCGAAACAACCTCTGTCGACAAAAGTCTGTAGTCTAGACGTACCCCTAATGCCCTGCCTGAACTGGTCCTGGGTGGCCTTAAATGTGAGAGAGCGTCCAATCAGTGTGTACGCTCTGTTTCGAAATAGCACATCGCTATTTCATTGCGCTTTTTATGTATAGACACGCTGTTTTGAAATAAGCTTTTCAGGAAAACCTCTTCTGGAAAACCTTATGCCAGAAGAAGCTTTCAGTGTAGATGTACCCTAAAATGTAGGGTTGAGAGGGGACCTCAAGAGCTCATGAGTTCGGGCTTCCTCTGCCTGTGGTAGTGTAACTTCAACCTGAAACAACCCAAGGGGTGTCTGGCTTATGATGGAGGTTTCCCAATAGCTCCAGGTCACCTGGTGCAGAGCTTCTCTGACCTTAGAGGTAGAACATTTCTTGTAAAGCCTCAACTAAATCTCCCTTGCCACAGACTACACCCATTCTGCCTTACCTCAGTGGACTTAGAGAAGGGTTGACCAACTGCCCTCTTTATAACATTGGCTTAGTAGTTGGCTCTCATGTCCCCCATTAGCCGTGTCATCTCCAGACCGAGCATGCTCTGCTCTGGACCCTCCCCAATTTGCCCCCATGTTCCTTAATGTGGGATTCGCAGAACTGGACACACAACTCCAGCTGTAGCCTCCCCAGTGCAGAGTAGAGCAGGACAATTATCTCCCAGGTCTCTTCCTGTTCAGACAACCAAGAATGTCAGTAGCCTCTTTCTCATCAGCTCCGCTCCCCCTCACATTTCTCTTTTCTCCCCCAACAGGAGTCACCTACGCGCTCTTAGTTCTCCAAACTTCACAGGCCCACATGACCCAGTCGAAAAACAGTCAAATCTGCTGAAGGTCAACATGTTGTAGTCAGCAAGAGCAAGTCTAAGGTCCGACGCTGGGTTCTCAAAGCACAAAGGATGCTACACAGGTATCTGTCAAACACAAGTAGTTTATTTCCTGACAGCTAACAGCTGTGCCCCATAACTGGAAGAACAATATAACAAAGAAGCGGCATATCTTATAACCCTTCCTGCAAGCCTGGAACCCCCTGTGGGCTGCAGACAAAGTGGGAGGTTGTCTCGGCTTCCGAGGCGCCGGTACCCAAAGTCCGTCGGTGAGGTCCAATTTGCTAGGCTTTGAGGCAGCCTTAAATACAGTTTTTCCTGCCTTGTTTTGCAGCTTGGAAAGTTACTCATTACATGCTGATGTAGGGCTTAGCTGTTAGTTATCGATCTGGTTCTGATCTAGTTCTACTTGTTCTTTGGCCTTTTTTACGTGATCAGTTCGTTAGGGAATGCGTTCTTGCCCTTTACCCTTATCTTATACTTGTTCTTGCTATACTAGCAACAATGTTTATCTTAAATGATGTATGTTCCCAAAGACTTGCTTCTGGCTCATCAGTAGTAGGGAAAGGGCAGAAGGCAGGCCTCACCACCCCTAAACTAGCACATACAAAGTTTATTCCGCAATTGACTCCTACATTTCACTCCTGGGTGGTGTGGCATGCACCATACCCTGATATATCCATTCTAGGGTGTCAGTTATTCCAGGATGACCTGGTGTTTTACTTGCTGAGCCAGTAGTGTCATACAGAAGGCCAGACACCTTACATAACAAGCTAACACGCTAGTAATAATACAAATAGCTACAAAACCTAATAATACAATAACAATAGGATGGAGAGGATTATATGGAGACTGGATGCTTTCAATGTCCTATTTAGCCCTGGTTTTGCAACAACTTGGTGGTGGAAAGTCACGTTGTGGGAAGCATCGAGGGCATGGATGTCTTGATGAGTTTGCACCTCCTGTGGTGTTGAACCATACACACCAATGGACGCCGTAGTCAGCGGTGATGTTTTCTTGCTTGGTCCAAGGTCCCGACTGGGTACTGGCATTCCAGGACTGCAGAGTCAGGCGTTCAGACACGAATCCCCCCTGCATGAACGGGGGGCACGATCCATTCAGCCAGGTCTGGGAGGATCTTTCCACCTTGGAAGTGGATTGCCACCATCCCGAAGGGTTAACTGACAGCACACTTGGAATCAGGAGCACCCATCGTATCAACTGCATGCCGGAGGGCTAGTCTCATTTACACAAGCGCGCCTGAGGAAAACATTCCAAAGTAACATCGTTAGCAGGGAGGACCCACCACGTAGCCCCTGGGTGATGGTTTCTGGAAGCTGTGCTATTAACTCATGCAAGTGGGAAACCCCTGAGGGTCCAGGCGTAGCTCTCTCCTTGATGTACCTCCTCCACTTTAACAGAGTGCTGGCCATAGCTCGACCTGACCAGGGAACAGCTGTATCTTGCACCCAGCTCATGATAGGGAGCTCGGGGCGCAGCAACACCTGCCAGTCCTGAGTGGCATGCTCAGTATCTAATAATGCCAGATAACAAGCCAGCACCTGCTTCTCAAAGGGAGTGTAATTAGCACTGGCCCTTGTCAGAGTCTTGCTCTGAAATCCTAAAGGGACCCAATGCCCTATTCTATTCCTAAAGACGAGGAATAGGAAAGGGGGGAGAATGCAGGCCTCGCCACCCCGAAACTAGCACATACAAAGTTCTTCCACAATTAACCCCTACACACGTGCTGTACAGGAAGGTGACCACAACCCACAGCCAAAAAGTTCCTCTTTCCCCCTGCCTCAAGCAGTCGCAGCCTGAACTTTTCATTTCCCCTACACACCTTGTATGGCATGCGGCAAAGGGCATACCCAAGCCACCGCTGTCGGAATATTTAGCCAACAGCATCTTGTCACGTATCATAGAAAAACTGGTGACCGCCTGGTCATGAATATCACTGTGGAATGTGTGTGTGGGTTGTGTCAAAAGAGTTACACATGTAGCTGGAATATGTTAGGAAGGTATTTGAAAGACAAGCCAGACTTATCCCCAGCAGTGTGGATTTATGAGTTTTTGTGCGTCTCACGTGAACTGCCCACAAAGAAACACCACATGACTTTGCTGCTCCTGCAAGTCTGAGGCCAGCTGCTGCTTAAGCTGCAGATGTTAACTTAGAGCGGACAACCTCATAACTGGAGACTGGGCCAAGCCACCTGGGTGTTAATTTTGTTCGATACCAGAATTAGACGTATAAGAATGTGTTCAGTGTTTCTTAATATCAATATTAAATTTGCAAAAATGTCTAATGCTTAGAATCTAGAAAATACTCGTGTGTCGTTGCTGCCAGCGTTAATCTCACTGATCATGGCCACACATCATGTTATCAGCTGATATTTTACTGCTTCCTCTGTAACTGTAAACCCCCACACAGCCTGGAGAGAGGTGTGACCAAGTGTGAAATACAAGTTTGCCACAAGCAGGGCTATTTCCTGCCCAGTGAAAGAAGGGCCCTCGACATCAGATTAACCAGTGTGGATCATCAGAGCACAAAATACTTGGCCGTTTGCTCCCCAGACCCATGAATTGGAGACTTGCATATGAACTGGTCCCATCCTCCCGAACTCTGGGGCAAGGGAATAAAAATCCCTGGCGAGAAGAATCTACTTTTTGGCTGTTTGAACGTTGAAGGGCCAGAGACTCTGAACTGAAGCCAGAGATGCCCAGGGTGGCCTTGTGGGTTTGCCTACAAAACCATTTGAATAACAGATGACCAGAGTTGTGTCACTCACCAGATTTAGATGGGTACTACTTGGGGTGTCTCTTTCTGGCTATAACCTGCAAATAATTCGTTTATTCCATTTTTAACAACCCTTTAGGCTTTGTTTACACTGCTGGCTTTTGCCAGCAGAGAGTATGTAAATGAAGCACTGATTAGCATTTTGTCCTGCTTCATTTGCATAATTTATTTGTGCCATTTTAGCGCAAGATCCTTTTGCCTCTTGGGGAGAATTGGAGTGGTCCGGGAGGTGGAGTGGGGGGCTGAGGGGCTGGGGGATTTGGCTGCCCAAGTTTAGGAGGCATTTTCAAACGTGAGCTCCCTTCACAGAACAGTTGCCCTCTTCACACATCGGCCTTAACGCCGCCCGTGAGTCTCTCTCTGGCCACAGGCTCCACCAGCTCACCCAGGGCGCATCTCTCTCTCTCACTGATGAAGAAGAAAACAGCTTCTGAGCTCAGTCTGCATAAACAGTTTACAAGAGCGGGACAGCTTTATTTGGGGTTCTGGTTCCATTGGCCCAACCTCCAGCTCCTGCTCCCCAGAGAGGGGTCAGTCCCATCCCACGGGGTCAGGGATTGCGGCCTGGAAACTGCCCCCCAGTCCCGTCACCGACCATCTGCACTGAGGCGGCTGGTGCCACAGCACAGCCTTTGAGCGTGAGTGTAACAGACGCCTGCTGGCCCTGCGGAGCCAGGGGGCAGTTCCCAAGTCTGCAGCACCCAGTGGGTGTCAATAGACCCCAGTCCCGGGGTCAGATCCCCAGCTGTTAGAAGAGCCACTGAAACTTATTCCAGGTTCGTTTGTACTGATGGGGTCCCTGCCCCACCAGAGGTGTCAATCACCTGCAGGCGCAGCCCCACCCACCACTGTGAGACGTGCAAATAGTGAACTCCCCTCCTGCCACCCAGCACACCAGGTCCCGCTGTCTCTTCAGCTGCTGAGCTGAGCGGTGACCACGCCTGAGCCTGTGACTTCCTCTGCCAGAGCAGAGGGGCCCGTCCCCCTCCCTGCGCTCACATTCATCCAGCAGCTGAGCCAAGAACCCAGCTCCCAGCCCGGAGCCACCAGCTCAGCATGGAGCCAACTCACCTCCTGCCTCTGCTGGGTAAGTGCCCTGCCTGCACCCCCAGACCCTGTGTATGTCTTTTGTCCAGCAACCCCCCGAATGCTTGAATCTCTGTGCACCCTCTTCCTTTCTCCTGCCCAGAGCTCTCACCCCCTCTTGTCTCTTCTCCTCCAGCCTCTCTCCAGATGCTTCCCAGGCCAGTGTCCTCTGCAGGTAACAGCGTCTCCCTTCCTTATCGGGGTGCTAATGGTGCAGAGGGGGGGCTTAGAATCTTCTGTGGAGTTTGGAAATTGCAACTTGGGGTCCCTGGGTGCCTCTGTGCCAGGCCTTCCCTGGGACAAGCTGCCCCCACATGGGCATCTCCTGTGAACCTGCCCCAGCAGCAGCACCATGTCAGAGCCCTGTCCAAGAACCTGGGAGAGTGACCCTGGCTGATAACTGGTTGGTGAGTTGCTGCCAAGGCCACAGGGGGAAGCTGCCCTGGCCCCTCACGGACAGTCACAGCAGAGAGAGCGAGGGCTGCACAGACCATGGAGACTGAGCTCCTATCTCCCCATGACACTGAGTGCCCCTGGGCAGGGCCCATCACTGTGGGGCTGTGTGGGGGGGTGTCTCTGCCCCAGCTCTGGGCTCCCACAGAGGGCTCAGGGCCACAGTCCCAGCTCTGTGCAGCAGCAGATTAACAGCTGGTTCTGCAAAGACCCCAGAGGAAACGTGATGGGTTGATAAACTCCCCCTTCCCTCCCCCCGACACACATCCGCCCGAGCTTCCTCATTTCTGCTCGGTTCCTTCTAGTCACTGCTGTGCAGGCCGGCTGGTCGGCTCAACCTCCCCAGGAACCCCACAGGACACTTGCCCCCGCAGATGCACTCCGTGTCCCTGGTGGGAAAATCAGATCCTGTCCTGGGTTCTTGGCCTGGTCCCTGAATTTTTTCTTGGCTTGGTCTGGGTCTGCTTGGACATGGGCTGTGGGGCGAGGAGTGTGAACTTGCCCGGACCAGGAGCTGGTATGTGACCAGCCTCATGAGGGATGAGTCTACCTTGTAGTGAGAGCTTGAGCTATTTAGCATGAAAAGAACCAACTTTTTAAACAACGAGTCATCCTGTGGACCCTTAGAGGTTAAAAAAAATTAACTAAAAAAAACCAACAGTTTAGTGGCACTTTCAAGGCTAACAGAACATGTAGATCAGGGCTTGTCATGATTATGAGGGTTAGCCAGCAGCCTGGGGATTACGGAGTTAACTACACCTAGCCAGGTGGAGTGACCAGTCAGAATGTAGGTGGGACTTTCAAACTGGGACAAAGGAAGTTGGGTTTTTTCCTTTCTCCCTTTTTGTCTCTCTGGGTGAGTTCTCTGCAGCTACAGAGAGGGACAAGCATGTCTCTCTCTCTCTCCAAGAAACAATTCTTCACTTCCTGTAAGTAGGGTAAAGTTTAGGTAGTTTCGTTAGGCTTGATTGTTTTAAGGGTTGGGTAGGCATCTGAGATCTGGCACAGCTGAAGAGATGTTTGGCCTTTCTTTTTAACTAAGTTTTAGCCCATGGTGTAATTCCTCCACGAGTATATTTTGTTACCTTTCCATCTGATCCTTATGCTTGCAACAGGAATATTGTTGTAATAATAAAAGTTCTTTCTTTTCTTTTCATTAACCTGGCATTGGTTACATGTGTGTTCTGATTTTTATAATAGGCGTGAGATTTCCCAAATGATCTTTCCCCTAATCTCATTATTAATATTTGGGTGGTGGCAGCGGAAGTTTTATTCCCAAAATCTAGGTTTTTAAGATTTTGGGGGAAGTTTTATACCAAAGCCTGGTAGATAAGGCTTTGGGGTACACTTGCTGGCCCCCACTTCTGCATTTATCATACCAGAGTGGGGAAGGAGCCATGACAGGGCTACTCAACACACGGCCTGTGGCCCAATTGTTTACGGCCCGCGGTGAGGTTTGAGTTTACGTGGGGCTCAACGCATGTTGTGCAGTCTTGCCTTCATGTTTGCATATATTTGCATGTATATGCATCCACACTTAAGTTGCAGCCCTCGGCATGTTCTGTGATTGTCACTGTGACCCCTGGTGCTTCAAAAGTTGAGTAGCCCTGATGTAGATGATACCAGGAGCTTTCATGGGCAGAACCCACTTCTTCAGATGACCAGAGTGTTGGAAGTCCAGCTCCAAGACTCAATAACAGAAGGGGGGCAGAAAGGAAAAAAATTGAGGGGGAGGAAGAAAAAAAGAGAGCGAGTAGCTAAGCTTCAGAGGGATAGCCGAGTGAGTCTGTAACCGGGAAAACTTTGAAACAGTCTAGTAGCATCTTTGCCTATGGCTAGACTACCTGTGGCTTTCCAAAAAAGATATGAAAATTAGGTGCAAATGTGCATATCTTCCGATCCCTTATGAGGAAGAGATTT